GGCTTGTTTAGTACAAGCAAGTGAGAGCAAGTGATTTAGAACAAAAAATTTGATCTCGAAAAAAGGTTGTTTGGTATGGTAGTCATAGGAAAGGACAGAAGAATTTGCCCCGAGACGGGGCAAATTTGAAGATAGTGTTTCTGTGGTAAGTTCAGTACACATACCTAGAATTAGAAGTGAACCAGTCTCTGCAGGGACAGAATCTACATAAGAGAGGCAATTTGAAAGGCTATACAATAATGAGATAACAGTATATGAGAACTATTAAAACTATTGATCCGTCATTTCAAACCAAGTCGTACCTTTATACAAATCTTTAATTTATGTAGAGCATAGAATACACCTTTCAGTATGTGGTATTCTAGGTAGATGGCAAAGCTGCGCTAAACCATATCGTCCCTGTTTCTCTTTTCTGGACCCATTGTGAGTATTTTACATAATCCAACTCCTTCAACGCAACCTTTATAGCACTTCCTTACTTGTAGTTGTCTTGTAGTGTTCATTTTACCATTTTGATCATCCAAAATAGTTCGACTAAACAATTGCTTTAAACCAAGTTGCGCAGTAACAAGGAGACTTTCAATGTTACTTTGTTTGTCCACCGCAAGCTCGTTGATACTGCTAAATAAACTACGGTTTTCTTTCTCAAATAATTCTTAAGTACAGTTAATTTTGGGTAGAAGTGAAAAGATAATGAGCCGCACTATCTAGCTCTTCTAGCTACCTCAATGATACCTGTAAATATCACGGACTTTTCAACGGTTCAACACTACAGCCAGGTGCTGGAGATAAATCTCCCAACTCCATATACATATTTTAGAAGTAACGAGCCAAACAGGAAAAGTCAGATGACAACACTTCATTCAGATTTGTCAATAAAATTACATCTCCCGCCACAGATTACCCAAAACGAAGCAACCAACTCAAACAAGATTAAAGAGACATTCTTAACTCGGCAATATTTCTTGCCTCCCTCTCAATAGCCACATCATTCGGCGTCAACTGCATCGCCATATTAATAGCACGAGCCCCCTCCTCAAGGCGCTCTCTACTCCCAACAAGCCTACACCCCACCGTTTTTCGATACAAAATCTTGGAAAGTTGCGCATCAGTAGATTCCCACGTACCGTCCATATCCTTAAAATCTGCTCTATCTGCATAGCTTGGTCGATAGTCCGGAACAACATGTCGGACATCCCATTGACGATCGCACGATCGTGGGTGTTCTCGCGGATGGCTTGCATACATGCTTGGGCCATGTTGGAATGAAGCACCCAGCATAGATCGGTGAGCTTGTTGATGAATTCTAGACCTCCTGTTTGACGAAGTTCTTTCCCGCGAGGACTTGCAATTAGCTTTCTCATTGTTACGATGGCTTGCGCGTAAGTTTCGCCGGCCATTTGTCCGTTGTTGATGCGGAGATACTCGTTGCCGTTGAGTTTGAGTTGGGCGAGTTCGCTCAAGATGGTCTCGCAGTCTTTTTCGGGAACGGTTTCGATTGCTTCGGTCATGGCTGTGACTAGGTCTGAAGGCACGTCGCCTTAGAATTTGATTACCAGTCCGGATCCTTTTAATGATCGGTAAGGTGTGAGAAGTTGCTCTTGGAGTTTTGTAGAAAAGAAAGACTGGGGTCTTGTCGCATCAGGCAGCGATTCATCAATAGATTTATGACGGTAAATGCGAGGGAATGGATCCTTGAGTTCCACAGATTGCTGATGAATATAATCTTTCAAAACAATCAAATCTCAGCTCATCCAAGTCGCGATGAAGCATGATGAACACCCAATCTTGCTCTTGACTCCTTCTTCCGTTCTCGGGAATATGACGGAGGGTATGGTGCATCACATATGCGTTAAAGAGTTTGAGATCTGGCTTGGTGATGTTGAGAATAGGAATGCGTTTCTGAGCAAAGCGTTCTTTCATTGAAGGGATGTTGCTGGTGACCTTCACGAACAGGTTCGTTTTCGTCATATCGCATATTGCTTCATCGTGAATCTGATGACTAACTCGAAGGATCTGAGGCTCGATGCTGTGCTTAATGATGGTGTTGGTGGTCAAGATTCCGGAAAATTGTTCTTGGACTCGCCCTGGGGCTGGCTCGATGGCGCAAAGTACAATCTTATAGATCTCATCACGGATTTCCCGTGGAAGTGTTTGGAATGGGAAAGGCATGGTCGATATTACTTTCGAATAAGTAGTGACTGTTCTCGCGTTTCTTGCTCTGAGTTTGCGTTGTGGTTTGTTCAGAGGTGAGGGAAGGTATGTGAGCTAACGTTCTTTTTGTTCCACAGTTTCAGCTACTCTCATAAACCCTCGCTAGATTCTTACCTAGGCAAGGAAGTCCATTAATAGCGGGTACAAAGGCGCCACACATAAACGTGTAGATGCGGTTGTGTTTTTTATTTAATACTTGCTATTGATCGGTAAAATAGACATATAAGATTAATTGAAGATTGCCTACACAAAGTGAGAATTCATAGTCTTGATCACGTGACTGGATGTTGTTTTGTACCTAGCTTGATGATGAATCTATCATGCCAATCCTTAAATGTTAGGATCATTAGTTTCGTTTAGTCTCAAAATCAGAGTATCAATTCCGCTATACTCATTTGGGAGAAGTATTTACTGTCTGGTACCAACATCATCATCACCACGTTTTGACGTGTTGCGGTGTGAGGTTGCTGGATCCATATGAACCCACATTTCCAAGTATTTGAACCTCAGTTCGACCAGTTATCGCATCTACTTATATCCACTTCGAATGCACAATTTGTAAGCCTCTCTGGTCAGGAAATGCCCTACAACTTCAACCACTGCAACCGTTTCCAGCCATAGGTACGCACCCGTTTTTACACATATAAAGGTGATATGAGCAATAAGTTGAATCAAAAAATTAGTAAAGATTGTAGAGGTTTCGGTGTGATACCATAAGTTAAGTTTAATGTTTTAGATTAATACCAGGAGATAAGAAGCCTGGTTATTAAGCTGTATACACTATCAAAGTTTATTATATCAAGGGTCTGGAAAAAGTAAGTTAATCGTCCTAAATCCCCTAGGGTAAGAAGAATTGAAAAAGTAGCAATTGTTCCAAACCATTCATATAATCGTTTTAGTTGTATGAGGCTCTTAGCAGAATAAAATTACCTAGGTGTGTACAGAGTAATGACCGTCTCTCTTACCTACTTATTCATGAGTGTAGCAGACGTATCTCTCAGAGACTCCACCTTCCTCATCATTCTGATATTTGAATACCAAAACAAAGGTCATCCATTTTATATTTGCACGGGCAATTAACGGTTCCACCGAGCCCTCACGTGCCCCGTTCATAAGCCAAGATGGCGAAGGCGTACTGCAACCTTATCCCAGGACTTATTTTTACACGACCACTTTCATCTTTTCTATGCAACCATTCGGGCTGCACTGCAACTGCAAAGTAACTTTCTCAATCAAGTAACCTTTGCCCGTCCCGCCGGAAAGATGGGCCACTGCCACAGCCGCTACCTAATCCTGCAAGTGCAGGGTCTGTGACCAAGATCTTCCGCAAAATGAAATAATGGACGCAATCCGACTTGACGAGCACCATTGCATCTCCCTTTCCAGAACACGTCGGGTGCCTCATCCCGCTCCCTGTGCCTGTGGCGCTCTTCCCCCAGACTTATGGGGAAAGAGCCATCCCCACGGCTTCGAGCCTCGTCGAGGGGTCCAATGAGCAAAATGAAGCCATCAACGTGCAATGGGACGAGCCTTGGCAAAACACCATGGACCGACCTTGGCAGGTACAACCTTGAAATCCGCTCTGTCATGCCCGAAAACAATGATACTCTTATCTTAAATGGTCCGATAATCAGGTTTGAGACGGGGGGAGCGATGTCGACGTCCTTCGTAGAAACCTGGCCTCGCCCAGAAAAGGAACAAGCTGGCGCGAGTTCACAGAGTCAACACAGAGCTAGAAATTGGTCATTGATCAAAATATCAATTTGGGTATTCTCTACTCTGCTTGTCGCTCCTTCTCCAACATGCATTCTTGGAATTTGCTCGTTCCTTTCGCGGTGGGAAGTCTGGCTGCGGCTCTTCCTCAATCGGCTCAGGTTGAGAGTCGGACTTACGGTCACGATGGCGGCTATGAACACCAGCATTCTATCAATGCCCAATTGGGTCCTCGTCCTTACTATTTGATTGACGACATGGATGATAGCCCTTTGAAGGAGAAGCTCCAATCTTGCTCTGAAGGCCCATTCCACACAACCGAGATGGCAATCGGTCACCGAGGTGCTCCTTTACAATTCCCAGAAGAAACCAAGGAATCTTTGACGGCAGCAGCTCGGATGGGTGCTGGTATTCTGGAGTGTGATGTTACATTCACACAAGACCAGAAACTCGTATGTCGACATTCACAATGCGACTTGCATACCACCACCAATATCTTAGCCATTCCAGAGTTGGCAGCAAAATGTACTCAAAATTTCACGCCCGCCGGCAACGGCACCGCTGCACGTGCCAATTGCTGTACATCGGATATCACGGAAGCCGAGTTCAAGACGCTCTGTGGTAAGATGGATGGTTTCAATCCAAAAGCTACTACAGTTGCAGAATATCTGGCCGGAACACCAACCTGGCGAACAGATCTCTACAGCACCTGTGGTACCGTCCTTACTCACAAAGAGTACATTCAATTCGTCGACTCACTCGGGCTCAAATTCACGCCTGAACTCAAAACCCCGGTTGTCGCCATGCCATTTCCAGATCCTTCATCAAATTACACCCAAGAAGTCTTCGCCCAACAAATGATTGACGAGTACAAAGAAGCTGGAATCTCAGCTAGCCGGGTGCTTCCTCAAAGTTTTGCCATTAATGATTTGTACTATTGGTTGAAAGCAGAGCCTTGCTTTGGAGAACAAGCCTTGTACTTGGACGAGCCGACTATCAACGTGGGCGGCATGGCCGCCGCAATTGGGAATCTTACCATTTACGCAGAAAATGGCGTCAAAACTATTGCGCCTTCTATCCCTGGTGTTCTAACAACAGATGCGAATAACAAAATCGTTCCTTCCGAGTATGCACTTGAAGCTAAGAGGCTTGGACTTGACATTGTGGTCTGGAGTTTTGAACGAAGTGGATTATTGAGAGATGTTGCTGCGAACGGCGATTACTATTACGCGTCATTCAACTCTGCAGTCAAGAAGGATGGAGATGCTATGGTTGCGCTGGATGTCATGATCCGGGAAGTTGGTGTGAGAGGAGTCTTCGCCGATTGGGTTGCAGGTGTGGTGTATTATGCTAATTGCTTTGGGTATTGAGGAGTCAAATGGGTGGGGGTGGGAGATATAAATCCTGGGAGAGGGCAGTTCGTAGACTCACGTATTATGTAGATCTTAATGTTATTATTACCAGCAATGGGTTAATGGTTTACTTTTTTCCTTGGGGTATTTTTATTGTTCTTGTGAGTTACTCGCTGGCAACTCACCTAGTCAACTACTCACTTATACATATACTCGCTTACTCATCTATTCACCCATTTATTCCCTCTCCTACACACTCTCTCACTTACACACACTCACTTACACAAACTCTCTCTAGCTAAACTCAAAAGAATCAATTTCATTACCCCCAAGACTCGCAGAACACCATCAACAATACACCCACTACTTCAACCCCCATTCCCTCCCCTCTCACTCCATCCCCTCCTTCCTCTACCTCACGCCCCCCTCTCATCCCAAAACCTATAATACTTCTCCTCCTCACTCTCCTCCACCTCCACGGGTCTCCACACACTAACCCGCTCACAACAAGGGTCATCCCTATACTTTGGCGAGCAGAAGGCGTGTTGACACCTTCTACAGGTGAGGTCGCCGATGTAGATCGTGTTTGGGATGGGGTTCTCGGTGCGGCATGCGCAACAGTGGACTAGGTGGATTTGGGTTTTTGGGACTTCGGGATGGGAGGGTTGTTTAGGTGGTGTAGGTTGTTGTTGTTGGTTTTTGGGGGGGTTGGGTTTGGTCCCAGGCTGGGAGGTTGAAGTGGAAGGGACTGTTGGAGGTTTGGGGGAGGGTTTGGATTTGCGTTTTAGGAAGTCATTTTTGTGGTGTGATGGTTTGAGTTGGATTGTGTTGAGTTTGGTATTTGATACGGTTGTTGTCGTTTTCTTGAGATAGAACTCAATAGTGATGATACGGAATAAAGACCGTGGAACTTTTAAGAGAGTTTCTATTTATCCCATCCCAAGTTCTCGTTTCAAAGAAAGCCAATATTTCTATTCATCGCTTTGTTCTGTGATACTATAGGTTTTGTTGATGTTAATGGGATTGTTTATTTTACCTTTTTTGTTAGTCTTTGATATTTCTTTTTTGAATGGATGGGGTTTGTGCTGTGATTGGGTGAGGTGTTGGTAAGTGAAGGTGAAAGAGGATGGTTGGAGGTTTTGGGGTTTTCTTTGTTCTTGGAGTTGAGAGGATGATGGGTGCGAATTTTGGGGTGGTGTATTTGTTGATGGTTCTTTACTTTTTTGGGGAAGCTTGCTTGGGTGTTTGTTTGTGGAGCGTAGGTGGGAGAGTGTGACTGGCAAGCTTACTAATTTGAATAGGAGCCATGGTTATATAGCCCTAGCATAGGCCCTATCTTTGTTGTAGTACTTGCTGGAATCCTGCTGAATGAAACCTGATTTCACATGGTGGAAATCATAGTTCGGAACCTACTAACAACAGAGCTTATGTGTAAAATTAATCAGAATCTATTGTTTTTACTGGAGATGTTCTTGTACTGTATATTAATTCTAGATGAGAGCTTTTTGTTGGGTTGTTGGACTAGGGAGGCTTTTTCAGGGTTATGGAATAATTGCAGAGCAGGGCTTTGAAATTAAATGGGATTCTAGACGCAAACATTGCCTACTGTAGGACTATATAGTCCCGAGTGATTAGGAAATATGAACACGATACTAGCATGACTTGAAGAAGTTGTGAAAAGGAGTAGCCTAGGATTAAAGGTGTTGCTTGAGTACATTATCAATGTGTCTGTGTAGCCATGTTCTGTCTTCCTATCCATTTGTCTAACCACCGCTCCTTCTGCTCGTCAATTTACCATTTACCAGTCTAGCCATGCTTTCTTCATGTATCCTTCGCTTGTTTTTCGCCGTCTTTATACCACAGCACTATATGCTAGATGAGCCTATATTACTCTGAAAGATTCGTTCCCATCAAACTCAACTCTCCATATCGTGATCAACCTACTCTACGCTCGGATTGCCAAATCATCAGGTGCAATCGCTTCTGCTTGCATGATCGAGGTCTCAGCGAATTGCAAGCAAGCGTACTCATATCCATCCATATAACTGAGGTGATGTGCGTATCGTCCCAGGAGTCTCATGGCAGTTGCTTCACGACGGAAGAATTTGGCCAGCTTATCAACGATGGGATGCCAATTGGTATGCCAACCAGCTTCAGGGACGCGCAATTTCTTCCGAAACTCATCCGCTACCAAGATGGTCTCTTGAAGTGTATATGCGGGCCACAACCAAAGAAAATTGGTGCCGTCTCTTGCGTAAAGTTCCTCGACATGAAGTAAGAGACACTTTAATTTGTGGTAGAGAGTCAGAAACTCCATTTCCGCCACGACATTTCGCAAGTTGATCCTTCCAACCCTCGCTATTGCTTCTCCAACGTGTGTTTGGTGCACTGCTCCGATCCGTTCCTCAAGAATCTCACACTCGTGAACAGCTCCCTTCCAGTCCTTTTCTATCTGTAATTCCTTGCGTCGCATATTCATGATAACCAATCGTCCAAGAAATTTGGTAGGGTCATGGTTTCTCACAACTGTAACTCCAGATATGGTAGCGATCCTCAGTGTTTCTGACACCTTTCCTTGCACTTCAAAGTTGGGAAGCAGCTCATCAAAAGTACTGGAAAAGCCGCGGAGAAGTTTCTTCTGGAGTTTGACGGAGTAGAAAGAATTTGGCACAAGAGAGCCATTGATACTTTCCTCGTGTTTGTTCTCGTAAGGATCCAACAACGTGACTTTTTGGTTGTACAAATGGTGGAATCTCGGCAGAGAGTACGCTACCTCTCGGATTCGTTCGCAGAGAATTTGCACTTGAGCAAGAGGAAGAATGCATGATATGAGGTTGCTTTCAGTCAACAGAGGTTCAATACGCTTGAGAGTGTAGTCCATCACAGCTCCTTTGAAATGCCGATTCAGGTATTGTTTGTCCCACAGGAATCCAAAATCCATAATCATTGCCTGGTTTAACCTATAGGGTGCTTGTGGCATCTGCCAACCATTTTCACCTATGATAGTAGGTTGTGGTTGTTCAAAAGGCAGATCGGTGGTGAATTGCACAAACAAATTGGTCTTCAAGAACACTCTTTTAGCCTTATTGTGTACTTGCTAGTTGACGCGTAGAATTTGGACGTGAAGATGACCAGGTCGGTGATCTATGTATTCGCGTCGTCAGAAGCGTCTGAGGGAACCAGAGTGATCTAAAAATACGTTTCGGCTTGAGGGTTTCCAAGTAGGGACGATCTTGAGGAGTTCTTTGTATATCGCGTCTCTGATCTCTGGTGGGAGGCCAAGGAACCTAAATGGCTTGTTGTCTGGCTGCTGAGGCTCATCAAGTGGCTCTGTAGATAAGGACGAGGAGAATTCCGCTACGATAAATTCACTCAAGTTGAGTCGCGGTTTATATAGAGTGCATCTTGACTTCGCAAGCATCGATTGTTCATCGTCGAATCTCCGAGCCATGGTTGAAGGATGTAGTGGTAAATAGCTGCTACAAGAATCTGATACAAAATTTGTGCTGTCGACTTGTGCTGTGGGAGTGCTGTAGGAGTGCTGTGGGTGCGCTGTGTTTTGTGTATAGAAGAACAGCAAGGTCTGCTTGGTCTTGATCAGCCTTTATAGTCCAAGAGGGCTAAGAAGTTACATATAGCGAACTACAATTCACTGAATGGTCGTCAGACTCCTTTGCTTTACTAGTAAACTTATATTCACGGATTTATGAACTAGCACAAAGCTTAAGAGCACTAGAGATGCTATCTAGAATCCACTAAGTCCAATAACCATTAAGAGGCTAAAGTAGCTACCTATTGATGGTATAGAAAGTACAAAGCCTAGTGAGAAATGATGTTTAGTATATTTATAAAATGTGTTTTACGTATTACAGGTGATTTATGTTCAATCGTCAGTCGCTACATGTCACATCAAATGAGGCTTTTTATTAATTTTGCTTTTGTATTGCTGGCTAGCTTCAAGTGCTTATAATTCGCCCACATATAGAGAAGTGGAAAGCGAAGAATAAGCACCCTCGGCCGCAGTAAGTAACGCGAAAGGAAGCAGCCATAAAACAAAACAAGGGGAAAAGGGAATGGGGGAAAACCAAGAATAAGACGAATAAGGAAGAAAAGGAAGTACTATCCTCGTAAAGGTCTCCTGGCTAGTATAGCTTGATATCTACTGCCTACCCTACAAATATCTCCACCGACTACTCTACAACCATATTTCCACCCCTCTCACATTTATATAACAAGTATAGGAAAACCTATTTTTTTAGGCCAAAACCACACCCAGAGAGCCCTCCTTACCTGGCGAACCCAGTCTATCAGTCTGTCCATCTCCTTGCCTAGCAAATATGCTATTCCGACCCACATCTGCCATACCGACGCCAGTTTGTAGAGTGCGTCGGTAGTTGAGGATCGAGCTCAAAAGGAGTGAATCGAGCGTTTGTTCTAGTACCACCACTATCCCCACACCTGTATATATCGTCCTGGTTCGACTATAGGAATCGTCGGAGGACTAAAGGGAGAACAAAGGACAGACAAAAGAGCTTACAAAAGTATAGCTGACAATATAGTAGATATAGTAGTAGTGGTATTAAAGGTATATGGCAGTAGTAGGGTGGGATATATATCCTACTATACGAGTAGCTTACTAAGCATTTATCCTCATTCACTATAAATCCTACCATTTAACAAGCTTGTAAATATTATTTAATCTATATAAGTACTTGTCTATAATAACCTATAATCAGTAAGATTATTATCACTTACGTGTAGGCGTTTTCTCCTTATCCCTCCGCTATCCCTAAGCATACCGCTAGAAGGCAGATAGATAGTTAGGCCTTAATTAGTGTCAGGGTATCACTAGGAGCGTACAAAAGACTGTTCCAGAATATGGTTGAGATTGATCGCGAGTCAGCTAAGAAGTCCTAGAGCTAGCTATTACTTATACATAACAAGAGGCCACGCTATTCCCCATTAGGCAGCTCCATACTATCTCCGATTAGGCAACTCCAACCCACTATTGCATTCACTAAGCGAAGCACATTCACGCCCTCACAATTAGGCGCTTAAGGTAAGAGACATGGTCGTTACTCTGTAAGATTACACACCTCTCTTAGAATAAAACTATTCTAAAAGCGTCGTATAACTAAAATAGTTATACAAAGAGCTTAAATAATTATTAACTCTTATTTTTCACTAACCTAGGTATCTGTGACGGTTATGGTCACGAGGGCTGGATTTCACATGCTCGCTTGGCGAGGCGCTAGCGCGCACGACCTGTATTTAGTTCCCAGCTCTCTCGAGCTCTCCTTCTTTCCTCGTCTTTTGTCCTAAGAATAGAGTGTTAATTGTTCTGAGTTCTACCTGAAGCACGTCTGTCACAGTATCCTAAGATAACGATTTTACTTTTACTATAAGTTTAGTATAATAGAATTTTATATAATATATATAGAGTAACGACTAGGTAACTTATAAATAGCCTTATAAGTACTATAGCGGTTTTATAACCTAAATAATATATTCTTACTTATATATAAACTTAAGTATAAGTAAATAAGTACTTTATATAAATAATAGTAAGTTAAAGTAATCTATTTTTAATTAACTTTAATATTTTATAAGAAATTAGATTATAGCTATTATAAAATAAGTATTTATACTAAGTATTACTCTTAGCTATCTAAGACTCTTATCTTATATTCCGCTCTATCCTAAAGTCTACTAGGTAGTTAGAATTAATAGTTACTTCTTATAATACCTTTCTTTTACCTTTAAGTACCTCTCTCTCTCTCTCTTATCTTATTCTTATATATCCTAATAGTTCCCTTTATATAGTATTACTAATAGGTAGTTGATTATTAGTAGTTAACTATTCTAATAGCTTATTAGTAGTTTAGTTATAAGATTTTAGTATAACTATTTAAATATAGTGGTTTAGTTATAAGAGATTGTAAATTAATAGTTAACTATAGTTCTTAATAGTTTTATACTTAGTTATTATATACGTAATAGGTAGTAGTATTCAATAGGCGAGTATTCCCGAGATTATGTTTTAGGCCTACTAGGGCCCTAGGTTTTGCTTAGTTATTATACTTAGTTAGTATACACGTAATATTGTAACGAATACTTAAACTGGCTAACTAAACTTGGCTGGGTGTTCGCTGGTTGGTATGCTATGATAAGAAGAAGACTATCGGGTTGTTCACTTGGAAGTGAACTCGTTACTTGTATCAAAGATGTCAAACTAATATGAAAAGATTGATAACTAAGTTGAGCACGAAGCTCCTATCTAATGGCAGACGTGCCAGTCCTATATAGAACCCTCATTCCCATGATTGCTGCTGGTCACCGCGACCAAGACGACCTGGCCGTTGTAGTCGCTCGCGACCAAGCGACCACTACTGGTCACGTGATAACAATACAGAGAAATCCCTGGATCGCTTAGCTACTCCAAACGTTCCCTATTTGCTATAAGAAACCTGGATGTGCCTGTCGAGGGTTGCGCCTCTTATTATGACAAGTATCACGTGAGCACGTGATTCGTGACAAATATATAGCTTTAATAAACCTATTACTTTAGGTATAGCTACGTAAGTAGGCACGACGCCCGTAGAATATATTATATTAGGAGATTACTTTAAGTTTTCAAGTATACTACTATGAAAGAAAGAGAACTTCAGATTATAGGGATCGGATATATAAATAGCTTCTTTTTAATTTATAACTTTATAAAACTTGCTTTTATTAATATATATTATAGTTAACTAGTAGTTACTAATAAATAACTATTAGTAACTATAAACTACTAGTTATCTACTAATAATTAATAGTTTGGTTTAGTTATAGCCTCTAGCTTATTAGTTTAGCCTAGTTTTACTTTAAAATTAATAGTTAACTACTTATTAGTAATATTACTTCTACGTCTTTTACTAGTAGCTAAGTAGATACTTGAGAAGCTAGTATTATATTTACTAATTATAGCCGAGTTCGTACTAGTACTAATTGTATTTATATAGATCACTAGTCTAGTTACTAGCTATTGTATATAAGTATAGTACTTGTACCCTAAAAGGCCTACCTAAAACGCATTAGAAGGATAACATTCATTTCGTCTATAAAAACCGCTCTGGTAGTACTTTTCTACGACGAGCTTGAAGAGGGGGGATTTTTAACAAGTGTGTATGTTGAGGGGGGGCGGGGGGG